TGTAGTACAAGAGAGGAAATGGGTGCAACAAAACTTTAATTGTCCTTGATTCTTTTGTAAAAGGTGTGAAAGTGAAAAATTATTCATTAAATTACTTACTTGAGGTGATGTGGTGATGTGAGAGATAAATATAACCTAACTTTTGTGAAGATGTTCCTAGTTCCTGGAATAATCGTTCCTTGCCGATACTTCCAGGGTTGTATTTATTATCTAAATAATTATCAGGCAAATGTTTTCAAAAGGATAAAAATACAAAAACTGGCTCTCTATAATCATTATAGCGGCTGATTTTCACCCATTTTCATACGCAACCTCGATTAAAAGGCAAAAGGCGGAACCGCGGAATGGTCCCTCGTCCAACTGTTCGATGTCCAACTCGCACTCGGAACTCCGGACTCCGGACCATTGTTCAATTCAATCAAATAATTCAATCCACCCAGCCAGCCAAGCCATGCCATGCCGTGAATTTAAAAATGAAAACTTAATTTGATCTACTTTTCATGATTCTTAACGAAGAATCGATTGTATTATCGGCGTCTACTTGACTATACTCAGTTTCATCGAACACAGGTAAATTATCTCTCTTTCACTTCTTGACGACGGACACACCTAAGTATGAGCCTGTCACCTTGTACTTACATTACACATTTGTCATGTCAAGCTATACTGATCAAGTAACTCGAGTTTAATTTTCTTTGCCGATTTACGATTCAGTCGATATTTTCTAACGAGCGAGGTAATCGTGAATTCTATTCTCTTGGTTTGCGAGTGCATGCAGTGCATATACTACCATGTGCTATTCCTAACCGTGGTTACGAAGTTGATCGAAGAGTCTACGTCTAATAAATCTATCCACTCCTTCCGTGGGAAGGGAGGTAATCTTTCATCTATTTAGCATTGAAGGGAAAGACCAGAATCAAGATGGTGGATCTTCTGTTGCACTCTCTAAGTGCAAATCTTATTATCCGCGGACTTCATCACCAGTAGAAACTTCCCAACTCTTGCAGGCGAGTGCTATAGGTAGTCTGTTGGAACATCCTCATACTGCCTGCATTTTCCTTGTGTCTTCAAAAGAATCAAGGACAATTAAAGTTTTGTTGCACCCATTTCCTCTCTTGTACTACATTTGACCGGTGTCTAATTTTAAAGTACCTATCTGGAACTACTTGCGAAAGCTTCTATGAGAATGAACCGCTCTACGTATCAGATGTTTCAACTCAATGTATACTGGCAATCAGTTTATCCATCAACATTCAAAATTTAAAATTTTAATGACTGGTGGAATGTATTATATTCAGTGGCTCAGACCTGTAAGTAGTAAAATGTTCCGTTTTTAAATGTTTCTTGGCCCTCCCTAGAGTACCTGTATAGCGAGAGTATGGACAGATGTGAAACTCCGAAAATCCATCAGGCCTTCACCGATGCTTCTGCGAATAAAATTAGGGCCCAGAAATGCAGCCAACCTATGAATTTCAATTATCCAGAACGATTTACTAATACTATTGTTACGAACCGTCGTTTATTAGGCACGTGTTTGACTCAGTTTTTGCATAAATTTACTCAATTTCACGGAAGAACGCTCATTTATGTACATTCTTGGCCATCATGGTTAGAATTGGAATCTGCAGACTGGCAGTGAAATTTTGTGCGTTAGAAGTTGGTTAAAAGGGTGGCTGCACTTTTGGGCCCTAAGCCCTCCATGAAGCGATCTGTCCATACTCTCGCTATACAGGTACTCTAGCCCTCCCTCCATAAGGAAGGGTCTTGCTCTCATTTTAAATTCGTTCTGTTATCAAAAGGTGGTTGATATATTGTTATGTAGTTTATTTTCTGTCTCCAAGGACGGCCATTAACCATTGGTAGATCAATTTGATGATCTGTCTCCCGCTTTGTATTTTTGCAGATCGACACTTCCAAGAGCTTGCCTTATCAGATGTACATTGCTGCTCAGTGCCATTTGCTCTATGCCTGTAGATGTTTCCTGTCATGTGTGGAAGGAACGTCGGGTAGAGAATCGATGGCTACCTTAATATCATCAATGATCGTAGTAAAT